CCACATTTGCCATATTTGGAGAAAAAGGATTTAAGAGTATCCTATTTTATGTTCAAGTGGATGTCAGTGATATGCAAGATGCGTTGCTGGAATTGCATGTTTTCTTTATATGCAACATATTCAGTAAATTGTTCAATATCCAAATCAGGAAATTTCGGGTTAATAGTGGTGTACATTGCATCTTTATTGTCGAAGTACAGAATTGCAGAACGAGTAAGGTTGACACGTCTAACATTGACCTCTTTGAATGCGTTATCACAAGCAAATTTTTCATTAATTGTTTTAATGATAGTATTAGTAGGAAGTTCCTTGGCAGTTTTGTTGATAGTAATAATACAAGCGAAGGGTGTCAGATGAGAAATAATGATGAAATTTTTGGTGTCAGTTTCCATGTTGTCTTCATTAACAGGAACAAATTCATCAGGATCAATAAGATTAGGAGGCAAAGTTTGATGAGAGCCATAGGTTTCAGATGCAATATTTTTATCAGAGAACAAGTCTTGGTAGGAGTTTTCAGCAGAGCTAGAGACAATATTCTCTTGTTGTTTTGCATTTTTGTCGGGTTTAGCAGAAACTTTTTTGGTAGTAGCTTTTTTTTCAGAATTTTTAGTCATATTGTATTTGTAAAAATGGTAGTAAAACTTTTAACTCTTTCTTATAAATAAAGTTGTTATAGTTGACGAAAGAAGTAATAAACTATCTAAACTGAGTTTTTTGTATAAAAAATAGTAAGAGCAATACAATTTTATTTTCTAAAAAATATTTTTTGAAAAATATTTTGGGAGAGAGAGAAAGAGTTTTCCCGTCGAAATCATTTCGACCATTGGAGATTAAAGTCGAAATGATGTCATATTACATGATTTTTTATATTTAGAAAAAACAAAAAAACAAAAGATATACGATCTCGGTCAATATCGCACCGATTCGTATGAAACAACTACCATTCGATTCCTCGAAACTAGGCGGATCTAATGAGCTAATATTCATTGATTTTGGATCATCCAATCACGAGATACTCGCAATTGTATTATCGGCCAAAATTTAAATCAATAAATTCTACTTTAAATAAAGGAGTCTGGATTTCGAAATACAATCGCAAATATCTCGAGAAGAATGATTCAAAATCAATGAATGTTAGCTCATTGGATTCGTCTAGTCGTGAGGAATCGAATGGTAGTTATTTCATATGAATCGGAGCGATATTGACCGAGATCATATATCTTTTGTTTTTTTATTTTTTCTATATATAAAAAATCATGTGATATGACGTAATTTCGACTATTTTGACTTTCATTTTGACTTTGACCTCCAAAGTCGAAACATTTCAACTTTTTGGGTTTTCATTTCGACTTCATGTATAGTTTTGTTATTCTTTTATCATTAATGATCAGACTTTTTTCATAATCTCGTTTTAAAAATCGTTATAATTTTTCTAACTCATTAAGAAATTGTTTCTAAAAGCAATGAAATAAAAATTAGTTATTTTTAAACCAAGAATTTTATTAGCTATATTTACCTTTTTTATCCTATTTTCCATAAGCTTTCTAATAACCATATTGGCTACAAATTGAACAAAGACCACCTAGATCTTCTTGATATATATATTCATTTCCTTGTAATTTTTTCATAAAAGTTGTGTAATGAATTCTATCAGAAGCTCAGTATAGAATTTTTCCCAAAGTGATTGTTTGGTATTGCAAAAGTATTTAATTGGTGCATCAGTTTTACTATTCGTTTTGTATAAACTCATAACTACATATGTCTTATCATTAATAAACTTTTCAAATTCTTGCAATTTTTCAATAGGTAGTTTATCATGTATAAAAATGGGTTTTTTATCAAAAAACTATCAGGTTCATTACAGTGACAGTGAATTCATAATTTTGTTATCAAATCATTTGAAATCTAGTATAGAAATTTAGCAATTATTATAAAATCAAAAAAAAACAAATTTGATTTTTTTTTATTAATATATACTAATAATTGATTCTGTAGGTCTTTAAAATAATTTGCTATTTTAGATAAAATTCTTTGTTTTCTATCATTTCCCTTTTTATTGATTATTAGACCTTTTAAAAACAATTCCAAAATGTATCAGAAGCATCATAAGTATCATAAAAATTTATTGATTATGCTATCAAAAAACCAAGTCTATATATATAGTTGCTTTAATACATTTTTTTCAATATTAGGGTTTTATGATCTAGTCCAAAATTTATACTATAATAAATTATATAAATTAGAATATATTTTATTTATTGAAATAAATTACATTTTTATTTTTTTTTACCACTGAATCTTATTTTGAAAAAGCTGTTATATCATGACATCCTATTTTGCGAAGCATAATTCTCTATGTATTTAATTCATGCTTATTGAATTGATAATTTACAATATATAACTTTTTAGATTGTTATGTAATTCAATTATCGTTTCCTGTTTCTACCAATTCTTTAAAAAGTCACGTCAATCAACATTACTAATAGTTTATTTCTTAAGATAATAAGAAAATACTTTTTCTGTAAGTACATCATTATTTCAATCACTTAATAAATAAGAAAAAATTTCTATAACTTGAATCAATTGCTGTATTAGAATGTTTTCAATTTCAAATAGCACTTTTTTAGAGAGCAACATCAATTTATCAGTTTTTGTTTCTTGTTCACTGAAATTCTATCTTATACAAGATTAGGTATATTTTCATAATATATTTTCTCAATTATTTTTTTTGCATTATAGTTAGCTTATACATATCTTCTTCAAATTCTTGAAGAAATAAATAACATTTCTTTGTCAGATGAAAGAAAAAATTTGACTTATACCCAATACTAGCATATCCTTATTGATTATTTTCAGATTTTGTAATTCCAAATATAAAAATACATACTGATTCAAGATTAATGATATATAGACGAAAGAAAACCCTTTCAATAATTTTTCATAAATAGCTGGCTTGTCAAATCCTATTATCATATGATCTGAAAATCTGGTTTTAGTATGAAATATCTGTTAGTAAACTGTAAATATTAAGTTAGTACTAGAATTATTTGGCTTAGTAATAAAAAAGGATTCATAACTTAAAGATATCCTGGTTATTCAGAATGTTCTTTGTTACCTTTACAACTGTTAAAATAAAATTGTGTCTATTTAAAAAGGCTAATATTTTTATATGCAAACGAATGGATATGAAAAATTCTATTTCTTGGTTATAAACTGTTTACTAGTCATACAAAAAGAAACCAAAATGCAATTTTGGGTCAATAATTCTCACTAAAAGTAAGAAAACAACATAATTTTTACTTTTTACTATTTAGAATTGTGTTTAAGTAGTAGTAATAGGTATAACGAAAGAGATTCAGATAATTTATGATTTTAGTATATAAATGATATATGTACTTATTTCCAATCGACATTAATTAAATTTGACGATTTTCACTGATTATTACACAGATCATGAATTAAAATAATAAAATACAATTTTGTATATCAGAGCTAACAATTATTTTTAAATATAATAAATTTAATTCTTACTTTTTTTTGATTTAATAAATTCATACTTTTTTAACCTGATATATTATATTCAGATCTAATTTTGATTTTAATTTATTAGATTCAGATTAAATTGGATTCAGCTTAAATTTGATTGTATTTAATCTATATATAGATATATATATCTACTTTTATATAAAGAAGAAATTTTTATTTTATTTATATTAAACTTATTATATATTATTATATAAGAAGTTTGCTAGAAAAATAAGATTTTAAGAAATTTTTGATTTTTAATAATATTAGATTAAAATTAAGTTTTAATCAAAAATTTCTCTGAATTCCATTTTTTTTTAAACAAACCTATTATATGAAATAATAACTATTTATAATATATAAAGCAATTATTTTTTATATGATACTTATTATCTAAAATTATTTAAATATTTTTATTTAGTATTACTTTACAATATAGTATTTTATTATATTATTATTTAATTTTTAAATTATAATATTTCTATTATTTAATATTTTTTTAAAATTCTTAAATTAAATAAGTTGATTTTTAGCTAATTTATTTAATTAATAAATGGTAATATTTTGAATTTTAATTAGTTTTATTATTTATTTAATTTTTTTAATATTTATATAAATTATTTTAGATGATTTTAAGTTTTAAAATATTTGAAACACTTTATATAATAAATATTTTTACTTAAATTTTTAATGAGATTTTCTAAACTTAATAATATTTAATTAAGTTTCAGATTTAAAAAAAAAATTATTTTAAGTTGTAAAAAAAATTTTTATGTTTTTAAATTATATATTTAAAAAGATTTTAAAAAGAAATTACTATTATTTATATAATTATAAAAAAAAAAATTTATAGGATTTATTTTAAAAATATCACTTTTTATTAAAAAAATTTAAAAAATAATAAAATTGTATTTTATATTATCAAAAGAAATTATTTAATTAAAAGATACATATATATTTAAAATTAAAAAATACAATTATTCTTGTATTTTTGAATAAATATAAATTATTTTAATATAAGAATTTTGTTTATTTTGATTTCAAAAAATTACTTAATAATTTTATATTTATATATATTTTGTAAATATAATTATTATAAATTAGATTATGATATTACTGTAAATATTTATTTGTTAAATTTTAAATTTAGTATTAAATACAATTTTCTCTATAAATATGCAAAATAGTCAAATACAGTTAATATTTTATATTTTTGAAAAATTATTAAGTTTTTAATTAAAATTGAATAAACTATAAATCCATATAAAAAAAGCTACCTAGAAATAAATAAATAATAATAGTAATCTAAATTTATTCAAAGTATTATACTTTTTTAAGAGACATTTAAACCCTCTATTTAATAGAAATATATATATATATATATATTATCATAAATACAAATAATCTAATACTATTTTATCTAAATAATATTTTTTGCAAAAATTTTTTTTTTTTAAAAAAAAATTTTACATAACTTAACCACTTATTATTTTATCTACCAATTCACTTGCTAACATTGCGTTTATTTTCATTTTTTCTCTCGTTACAGTTTGGAATGATCCACAATCCATTAAATTTGTGAATCCTATGTCTTCAAGATACGAAGGCATCTGATTTGTTCGACTTGCAACTCTGTTAGATGGAAATTGTGTTTCGGAAGAAATCACGGTATATAGAATAGTCTGAACGGAATCAAGAATTGGAATAGTCTCACTACTATTGATTATTTGTGTCATCTTAGGGAGTAAAGAATCATACCTGTTGATAATAATCAGAAGTCATTGGTTAAGGAATTAATTATAAAAACATAAAAATAGATATTTTCATATATACATGTTTAAAAAAAAGGATACACTAAGGCAAATACTTGAGGCAAAGCTGAAGCGGCTTCGGCCAAAAAACCGTACAAGAATAACCTTTCGGGTTCATGCTCAGCAGTTTGTAACATGGCAACCATCAAGGAAATTAGAAGCAAAGCAGTTTTATTATCGGGGATATCAAGTTTTTCAAAAATTTTATAATACGTTGTCCCTAACTCTGAATTATCAACTTCGGAATCAACTATTCCACAAAGCCAAAGTAATTCTTTCATGTCGGCATTTTTAGCAGAAACTGGTAACAATGCAGCCAAGTATCCTAACATTCTGTAATTTATGGTGTTATTTGAGTGATCTCCAACTCCTTTAGATGCAATATCCAAAAATGCATTTAAAACATCTTTTGTTCCAGTCTTTGTAACAGGATTTTTTAATCCTTTTAATAGTATTGCTGAAACTGCAAATGAAAAATGTTCATAATTAACGCCTGCTTCTCTATCCATGCTTTTTGCTATAGACTCCAAAGGAACACGAGCTTTTAATAAAACTGTTGCAATGTCTTCATTGGCAAAGAAATTATGGACATCTAATGCCTTTAAAACTACATTTAACAAATTAATTGCACTTGGAAAAACGGGAATATGACTTATTTGAACGAGTGCCATCGCTAACCAGAACAACGATTGTAAATACCGGCAGTCTGCAGGTAAGTTTTCTACAATGTTCGTAAGACACATTACAATACTAATAATAAGTGAGCAATCATTCTCGGTAAAATTTGACAAAGCTCCTCTTAAAGCAACTAAAATCTGGTATAAAAGATCATCATCAACTTCATTACGCGCAAGACAACCGAGTGTCACAAAGGCCCTTGGCTGTACTGCTGGATTATATTGAAATGCTGTACTGGCAACAAGCCCCATCCATCGAGCTCTCCATGTGTTTGACATGTCTAAAAAAAAAAAAAAAATTTAAAAAAATTTGTTAATTTTTTCTATAAAATTTTTAACGAATTATAATGAATGAAACAAGTCATAAAATATCTTATTACCAACTGAGCCAGCGCCACAAACCATAACTTCTAATAGTGCTTGAACAATCTTTTCCAAAGAAGCTAGTGGCATTGTGTCTGGCAAATCATGTGTCGATTCCGATGATATAACAAAAGCATTACCAGAAACATTATTCAACCCGAAAAAGTAACGAAAGTTTGGTTCGGATAATTCTGTAAGCAGCAATGTTAATCTCTTAACACTTATTTCATTCAAAGGCATTGATGTACAAAGGGATTGCACCAAGTTGACAATAAGTCCGTGTATTGAAGCCCTAATAAGTGGAGGTCCAGTAGCCACAAGTATTGAAATGACATAAAATAATTCAGGCAAGTACAGCTGTACATTGCGATTATTAAATGATAACATTAGATTGAACCGTATTAAAACGGCAATCTCTGGCCAGGATGGGTTATCTGTGAGAGTTCTAGTGGCCTTTATTGACGTTCTCTTAATGACCTGAAAGAAATCAACTTGATCAGCACAAAAGATTATAATAAAAATAATGAATAATAAAATGACTATCATACCATTCTTAATTTTGCAATTATTTTTCCTCGAATGTTAACAGATGATAAAGTCACAATTGTATTTGCAATTATTTCAGATTGTGGAGAACTAATGCCATGATCGACAGCGTATTGAACAAATTCTTCAATTATTATATTTGTGATTTCATCGACTTTTCCTAGAGTATTCCATATCTTTGATTGAACAGCAGTATACATCTAATAAAAAGCAAAAGGAAGTTGTTATAAGAATATGAATCTTATAAACTAATCAATAAAATTCGTTATTCCATACTTCAGTTTCTTTGGTAGTCAACTCGATTAAATTCCTTATAATTTCTCTCGTTTTATTAATGTTACGTTGGCTGTCCGCACCACTCCTAGTAAATTGTGTCAAATTAAATAACCATGGAGCCATATACTGAAGACATAAATGTTTTAAGGGAGTGCTAGATTTATTGAATCCAACAAAGAATTCGCACAAAAAGTCCGGAGTAAGTTGAGGAACCGAATTTGCAAGCCTTTCGCTCAACCCGACAACAAACGACGTATTATTTGCAGGTATACATAATCCTATTAAAATAATTGTTCCAGATTTTAGTTTAAAACTAATAATGAAAAAAAATAAATACATGTTAATGCTATACAACGTAACCTTTCGCTCCTAATAGTTGACCACCAACATCAAAATTAAATATGGCGCTTAAAGCTACGAGTAAATTGTAAGCAGCAAGTCTCAAATTTGGATCATCACTACCAATATTCAACAAAGCCATATTTAGCAATGTCCCTGGGACATCGCTTGGCCTTATCACTCTCTCTGTTATGTTTGTTGGCCTTGCTATTTGATACCTTGCTTTAGAAGAACGAATTGTTGTCATTATGGCTTCTCGTTTTGGGCTGGTAAATATTAACGGAGGTCTACCACGATCTTGTTTGATGGTAAATTCGTTATCATCATTTTTATGTGAAGATATGTTGATATCTTCGATTTCGGAAATGTGATACACATCATTTAGTTGACAGCTTAGCCCATTAAATAGGTCTTGCTTTCTTGTCTTTTTAATGATGATTATTATTATTAAACGAAAAAGAAAAAATTATTATAATTATAAAACAAAATAAAACTTTTTCATGGATTTATATTAAATTTACCGTCAAAACTTGTATAGTATCATGGCTAATTTTTATTATAACTGGTACTTGCATCCTATAATGTGAAATTTTTGTTACTGGGGAATATACCACCATTAGATCTGTATCCAGTTGTACTGTAGAACAGGTTTCAATTATGAATAAAGTTTTACGTTTGTTAATTAAATTACAAATATAAACAATAATAAACTATTCCTACTTGTCGTTTTGGGCAACCGAGCTTCAGCTGGCGCAATATATTCATTTAGTTCGTTTAAATTACATAGAAATAGTATTTTTCTAGTAACTTTACTTGTGAAAATTCGTGCTAATTTCTTGAAGAATTTTTTAAAGGCAGTGTTCGTGTTATAAAAATATAACGTGTTAAGATTTTCTATAGCATCAAATGGAAGAACGTGCATGAATTGTTGAACCCATTGTAATTGTATTTCATTTGCTGCTCCAAACATTGTTAAATCCACTAATAGCTCATAAGGTTTGCCCATTGCTGGTTCAATCGTCTAAATTATTTCAAAATCTTTTTGATCAATTAAATTCATTTATAACGAAATTATATTGAAAAATAAACAAAATTACTTTAAGAACGTGATACATCAAAAGTTCCATATCTGTAGCTTCTGCATCAAGTCTTCGTAATATTAAAAAAAATACACGACGTTTTTCCTGAATTCGTGAAATTTGTTAATGAAAAGTTCAGCAAATTATCGATACAAATCTATCTATCGTTAGAATATATTCACATACTGACCTTTGAAATACCCCCATCATAAAATACTCCCTTTGATACTATAGATTCGATGCTACGATTTTTATGTCGTATCATGAATTCTTTGAAAAGTTGGTTATTGGTTTCAAAGTGATTGTTCCCAATATTTGAGAATTCTTTCATTTGGCTTTCTGTAGGTGGTCCAAGTTGTGCGAGTAGTGTAGTAATTTTATCCCAAGTCTTTTTGCTTGCTTGAGCTTGATCGAACATAAGGTTGGCGGGTGCAGTAGCAGGCTTTATTGATTTGACTCTAAGTATCTGAAGATCTTTTGTCACCTTTTCTTGGTTTTCAATAAGGTGTCTATGAAGAGCTTTTCGTACAGAATCTTCCAATCTACGTACGTTAGTATTATCTCCTGCTGGCACATCTGTAAAAGGGCATGTTTGAGGTAATTTCTGAAATATTAAAATTAATTAAAGGTAAGGTCAGTCACATTCCTTGTAAGTAAAAATTCAAATGGTCTCATACACTCACGGAAATTTCTTCCAAGAAAGTTGTTACTTTGACGATATTGTCATTTAAAAAACTATTCAAAACAATCATAAACGGTTCTTTCGCACCGAAAAGTACATTATTCGCGAGGTTCTGAATAACCTTGGTAATTAATAACAATGCTCTCCGAATTTTTGAGTTTTCAATGGGTTTGCATAAGTTTTCACTATCCGGTGCCACTATGGCAGGATTAAAGAAACGTAGGAAAACGAACGATCCCACTGTGACGAATTTTGCTGGTTTGTATTTTTGTTCGACCGAATTACTAATATAATGACATACTTCTCGGAATGAACTGTTAAAAAATAATAAAATAATAAAATTAACCAAATTCAATAAGAAAAGTTTAAACAAATCATAATTATTATTCTAATTATAGTACCTTGGTATATTTGGACCAGAAGCGCAGATCCCATCCAAGAATGCCTGAGCCGTGGAAATCAAGTTTTGGAAATTTTTATTTTCATCTTCAACACCTAGATTATCAGGTTTGAGCTCACAACTGAAATCACTTGGCTTAGATAAAAGGTCTTCTAATAAGGGTTGCAAAGTTTCACGCAAATATTCCGTTCCATGTGTTTTAGCAAAGGCAGCCAACATACGTGTTGCCATACAATTGCGTCGGAATAAATCAGATTCATGCTCTATAAAAAATAGACATGTTTATATTCATTAAGGCCGATAATAATAAATAACAACAGTCAATGAATAAATTCTAAAACCTGTGCTTATCACTTCTTTTTCTATAATGGCCTTCAATAATGACATGGTCTTATTTCGAGAGTCAAAAACAGCTAAAAGGGTTTTAGCAACTTCATCAATATCAGAAACTGGACAGACTTCACACAATGACAATGCAATGTTAAGGTCAGATTCAGTTATCAACTAAATAATAACAATTATTGTAAATTCTCGGTGTTAATATTACAATTAACGAATAAATTTAAGCATATTTATTAAATACCTCAACAAGCTTATCATAGCGATCTTTCATGGCGTTTTCCGCGAGACCTTCGAATTCAGTTCCCTGATTCAATATATTAGTAAGAACCTGCATAAACGCTGTCCTAGTCTTGGTATCCTCATGATACCCCATCGACAGGGAATATTTCAAACCCGAATCAACATTTGCACTTAGTAAATTACTTAATGCTAAAATCGTGTAATCTTTCAAAGGGCCTAAATCTTTGACATATTCCTTGGACTATTCAACAAAAAAAAAATTTATCATTACAAGGAATTGTAAATAATTAGAAGTAAAAAGAAAACAACTTCGAGTTACCTTTGATAATAACATTTGCAAGTCCGTATTATTTTTCGCCGAATGCGTTCCACTATCGATTGCCTAGTAAAACACGTGTAATGTATTGATTTAATTAATATTATCGAAACATCAAATTCCAAAAAAAAACCTCCTTACCTCGAGAATACGACATCGATTCAATAGTTTGATGAAAAACGAGAAATACTTGTAGAATAAGCGAGATTTCACTCCACTTAAATCTGACTCATGCACAGTTTCAGAAGGTTGCAAAGGTAATTGTTGAAGGAGAGAAACCACTGTCTTCAAACAAGCTTGATCCAATTCACGATGCAATTTCTCACTTTTATTTGGAGCTGTCTCGTTACTACTTCCTTGAGTATCCGTCTTCTTTGAAGGAAAAGATCTCTTTAATTATAATATTTCATTAATAAAAAAAAATAATATTTAATATACCATTGTAAAATCTGAAGTCCATTCTATGAAAATTTCCAAAAGCCTATTTCTCAATTTAATTTCTTGTCTAAGGGTGACATATTCTTTTTTACACATTAAAATTTCGGCGAGTTGACACATTCGCTTCTTAATTCGTAATGCCACAAGGGAAGATCCAAGTCGATTCAAATAGAGGGCAAAAGAGAGAACAAGATCTCCAAGGTCAACTGTGTATAAATTTTCTGAAGCATCTTGAATACGCTCCAAGATAAGCTTCAAGACAAGAATTGCTTGCTCTACAAACAGCGTATATTTTTCGGTTGGACTAAACTCACCATCCGAATCGAAAAATCGTGATACTATGGATTCAAGGTGTTTAAATAAAATAACATATAACCTTGGATTTAATTCGGTTCCAAGTGAATCCTTTACATTTTCTCGAACTACTACTGAATCACACACCAACAAATCAACCATTTCTTGTACATATTTTTCTACCATTAAATGACAATTTGTTTGAGGTCCATTATTTCTACGTTCTGAATGTTCATTTCCCAAAGAATCATTTATACGTCCATTAAGTGGATTATTGATTTGTTTCTCATTGACGCAAACTCCACCCAATGCACATAGAAAACCGGTATAATTAAGCCATTCATTTGTCTGTGCCTAAAGGAAATGACAAATGTGAATAATATGAAAATGGAAAGTTTTTCCTATTATATTATATATAGAATTTAAAACATAAATAATACCTCTGGAACTGCAATTAAATTATTAACAGATTTTGCCTGACCAGGATGCCAAGGTATCCCTCTCGCTTTGGGTTCCATAGCTGTAATTATTCCGTTAAGCATTTTCCAGCGTTGATATGCCTCTTCCCATGCAGCGAGATTTCCAGGGGTTGGTGCCTTCATTAATCGTAACGATTTTCGAATACGCTTTTGTTGTGCCATTCGACCTATAATAACAATAGGAAATATAAGTATAGTATGTATACTTCATTATTTTAAACAATTAATGTATTACAATTAATTACCTGGAACTATATAAGGTGCAGATGATAGTTCTAAATAAACGTCCATGTTTTCAATAATTGGCAAATCATTCGGGGGAGAGACATGAACATCCATTTCATCAGGAATAATTTCTGTAGTCAATTGAGCTTCTTGGCACAAATGTCCAAAACAATTTAATGACATGGAACAAATATCTGTATCAGATGAACATAGTAAAACCAGCAAGGCGATCTCGAGTACAACATTACAACCAAGTCGTTCAGGGGCTTGCATCCCAACAGTTGATTCTTCCTATCAAAACAAAAATAATGTTAAAAAAGACGATGCGATTGAAAAATAAATATCATCATGAAAAAAAATATTCAACCCTGTGCACTCTTAAAAAGTCGTTACGACGAGCAAATAGTTGAAGCAAAAGTTCAAGTAGATTTCTTATACTTTCTTCTCGTTCTCTAAACTCTAGAATTTGTCTTGCAATAGCTAACATTACTTGAGAACTAAAAAGACAAAAGTGTAAAACTTAGAAAAATTGCTATCATATATTAGTTTTTATGAATATAAATAATTCTAATTCTAATCTACCTTATTGTCCAAAAGCTATCCATTGTCATATCCTCAGGACCCCATTTTTCAATATATTCTAAATTATGAAGTTCCGACAATGTTTCCGCCGCTGTGGTTCGAATTGTGTTGTTATAATCATTTACACATATCGTTATACCATAAATTACTTGTCGAATTATTTCTTGATGTTGATCAGGATCACAATGCTGTATATCGTAGAGAAGGAAAATGTGAGGAAATAATTTCAAATAAAAACAGATTGATTCTTTCAAATCAACTTACAACAAGTGCTAACATGGGATCAGATTTATAAAGTTTGATGATATTTAGAATAATTTCCATTTTTTCATTTAATTCTTCTGGTTTTTCTTTTGCTTTAATCTTTTTCTTGAGATCATTAGATTTATCTCTAAAATTAATGTATTGATATAATAATTGTCGGAGTGGAACAGCAAGAATCGAATAAACTGACGGTAAGCTAGGATTCCAAGGAAATCGATTTTCCTATAATTAGAAATTATTATTACTTTTTTTTTTTAAAAAAAAGGGGGAAAATTATGATTGAATATCGCTCGCATATTTTAAATTAGAAGTTCTTACCTCCGAAGCTATAGCATAGCAGCTTTTGACTAACACTAATTTGAAAGCGTTAGGTGCATTTTCACTCAGACAAACCGGAATCAAAGATTCCAATGTATCTTGATTTAGTCTGAATAAGGCTGTTAAACAATCCGTCATAAGCTTTTGATCAATTTGTGATTCGTTCATAAACGGCCTACTAGGATCGAATAATTTAGCCTATGTGATCAAAAAGACATTAAAGTGAATACAAATTATGAAGAAAGGCGTGTTGAAAATAATCATCAAAACTTACTTTAAGATCGTTTTCAATATCAGGAACGATAAGTCGTAAAGCCGAAGAATCATTCTTAGCCACATAAGTAGATGCCTTACAAATATCGACGTAACATACTACGGCAACATCTGCTAATCTTGACCGCCTTAGTGATTGTTTTAACGAGTCAAGAAATGCTACCTAAAGAATATAATCAAACCGTAAGTGACGAGATTATAAATAATGAAAGTATTAATAATTAATCTTTTTTTACCCTTTTGTTGGTTGAGGACGTTCGATCTGACATTGATGCATTCATCAATATATCAGGACATAAAATTAACAACATAGTCTGTAGCGGCCAAAAAACAGACTTTTTCCTAACATGACTATCAGCTATATTATTGCAATAATCGAACAATATTTCAGGCCCTCCCTCCAATCGTTTTTGGCTCTGACAGAGAGTTACAAATTCTGCCGGGAATACTTCAATCCAATTCCATATAGCCTTGCGTAAAACATTTGCCATCATTGTTTGTGCAGAACGTTTCAGATGTAAAAAGGAACCGCAAAGTTCTGTAGAAAATTATTTAAAAAAAGTTTTACATGAGACCTTAAACAAGAAACTTTTGAGCTAAATCGTAATTTAACAAACCTTGAAGAACCATTGACAACCGCTTCGAATTTAAATCCGAGCATTCCAGTAATTTTAATTCGGCCGTCTCCGGCCATTCATCATTTGTGGATGTCAGATAACCGATGCGAGTCTTTATTCTCGAAAAAACAACATTCCAATTAGATGCACTAATATAAAATATAACCCGACCAGCGTTCTTATATATATCACTAATTAAATCAAACGTAGCAGATGAACCCTGTGTTGAAGTAGACGGATTAGGAGACAATCCGGCAGGACTTCCATTTGGTGGTTGACCGGTATTATTATCTTCTTGGCTTGCCATTTGATGCAGAAATCGAGATAATATGCTCAAAATATATTTTGCAAGAGAATCCTCTAATGCCGGAGGATCATCCCATGATCTAGGTAATTTGAATTTAGGTTGATTTACTAATGTAGTTACGGATGAATTATCGTCCCCGGTAAAGGAAACATTATCAGCGGACTGTCTCATAGCTTCTAATTCCCTTTGTGTCCCTCGATAATATTTCCAATGGCTTGTCATACACGCCGATAAAATTTTTAAGATTAATAGTTGAGACTGTAATACTTCGAAAGGTACAAATTCTTCCAAGACCATTGATGAGGACTACAATATTTCAAAAAAGAGAGTATTTTTAATCAGTTTTTTTTTTAAAATTTTTTAATGAAAACTGAAAGGACTTAATTAGATAAAATTCAACAAACCTTGGATATTGATTCTAGAAGTTGAGTTAAATGGTTTGCTATCGTACTAAGTCTAAACTTCGATAAATCAATTATAGCATTTATAATTTGTAATATGTTAGGATCTGATTCCAGAACCTCGAGCTTTTTTTTACTGTTACATGGCAACTTTTTTTTTTATTAAAAAAAAAATGAATAAATGATTGAAAAATGAATTAATTGAAATGTTATTCGAACCAAGACGAATTTTCTTTATAAAAATTAGCCGAGAAAAAATATATATATATTCCATAGAAGGGTTAAAATTCGTTCATACCTTCACACTTATTCTATTTATTAATGACAGTATTAATTTCGTGTCCCCGTTCATCTTGACTACTTCCGGTGAAATTTTTAAACTTAATATTTAAGCACAAAGAAAGAAAATTGGTAACTTTGAAGTATATAAATAAAAAAAAGAAAGTGTGTCAAAGAGTTTAATACCTTTGGGAAGGATAAGTTGAAAAGGTAAGGTAGAAGAAATTATTGACGGATTATGATGAATACTTTAATTGGTAGTTGCAAACAAATACGGCAAAAAATCATTTATTTTTTGGTTGATGTGCTACTAACACTTTTTTATGTCTCACAAATTTATAACGGAATTAGTCGGATAAACAAGAAATTTTTATATGATCCCCTTGATAATACAGTTTTCGCACACACAAATTCACAAAGTTTAATTCAAGCAAGCACCATTCATATTTCGAGGATGTTCGGTTTACATAAAAACGTGGTTAAAACGATATAAACTGTTAAATTTTCCCAACTATCGGATCAAATTCGTGTAAATTCGTGTGATCCTCGTGTTAACATCCATGTTAACATCCAAAACACAAACACAACATTTATTCATTTAATTAGAACAAATTTTCTTTTTTTTTTATTCGAAATTTGAAATTATTACGACCCAACCGACTTTCACGTGATTGGCCGATCAATTTGAATTGAATTACTTTTTCAATTTCGATTTTCGATATTCTACTTGATAAAAAAAATTATTTTATTTCAAGCTCTGAAATATCTTTTGATATTACATGGACAGAAGTATATTTGTCTCTTAAACAAAGTACTTTAAGGTCAGAATTTTTTTGCAGACTATGTGGAATTGTTACATGCCGAAGATAATCAACCCTGGATCCATTTCTTTATTGTGTGTACCTAATGTTTTTTCACAGTCTCATGATTATTGATGGAACAATTTATTGAAATTTTATAGTATTCAATTATAAAATTTGATAAGGTAGCGTAAAATTATCACGTGATATATATAATCAATTGTAACCTATTCAGCCAATCATAAGAAGGACTTCCAACCCCGCTAAAATTCTTAAAGACATCCGATACAGTTTATCAGGCCGTTTTATGACGTCCTGGTATGGTTGAATAAATTTATTTAAATTTAGGGAATTATGGGATTCAAAAAAAGGTTTATCCTCGATCTGTAAGTCATTATGATACACTGCATTATCATTTTGCCACATCAAAAACATCATATAAATATTAGTTTTTAAGAACTAAAATATTCAAATTTCAGCGTTTCTTTTTTTTGTTCTTTTTAATTTTTTTATTGAAAAAAAATCCTTAAAAGATGGAAGCTGCCGTTCTTTCATTTCTGGATTCATTGTAAAAATCATTATTTTCTAAATATAAATTTTATTTATCTTAGAAATTTTATTAAATATTTTAGATTTTTTTTTCGTTAACCCTTAAATTTTAGGATTGGTTCAGAAGGAGTAAAGGGTGCATTAATAGCGGATGAACACGGATTATGTTTAGGAGGTACTCTATATAAGAAGTTTTGAATAATTAAAAATATGTTTCATGCATTTCTAATCCCCCTTAAAAAAATCATTACAAAAAAGCAAAAGGGATTGCAAACTCAAATTCTGCAGGATTTATATCATCAATAGCAATATATGCTAAATCGTTGCATGATGACCCAAATGTTCAAGTTCCCACCATAAAAATTGAAACCGATAAATCGTAAGTCTGCTATAATGATGACCCATTTTTTTTCTTCGTTTATATTTTAACCTTGCTATAAAAATATAGAACTATATTAATTCGTAATCATGGAAATCATATATTAGCCGTGTTCAAATAAAATTATAGGATGACTATTTTGACTAATTTAAAATCGGTCAAATGTCTAAACCATAAACGATCACATGTTACATAAATATTACACTAAATTATTCAAAATTAAATAGGAGAAATAAATAGTAAATGAAACTTGAAATTTATTGGTAATCGTTACTAAATTAATTGTCAAAAAGAAAAAAAAACAAGTGAGAACTAACAGTAAAAAGAACCAAATCCTTACTAATGATGATCAATTACGATATGAACAACTCGGAATTTAAAAGACGAAATGCTCCTTTAAACCGCTTTCTGATAACCACCTTTTTTTATTTTTTTAAAAACAAGAGAAAAATATTTCTTCAAAAATGACGGATTTTTTATTGAGTAAATTGTCAAAAGATATTGGCAAAATAATAAACCTTAACGATGAATGTAATGTAACATTGAAAATAGGTTTACAACCGAATCAAAAAGAATTTAAAGCTCATTCATTAATATTAAGAGCGAGGTCGCCATATTTTCACACGGCTCTTTCTAGTAATTGGGCAAGAACTCAAGAGAATAATATCAGATTTGAAAAACCAAACATCTCTCCGAATATATTCAAGGTTATACTACGGTAAGCATTTGTTATCGTTTCTGTGACGCACAATCTTATTAAGTGGGTTAACATTCAAATTTTTTTTTTTCCTTTGAAATATGATTAAAGATATATATATAATGGAACAATTGATTTACATGACCAAGAACCATCCGATATGTTGGATATATTATGCGCAGCAGATGAGTTAATAATCGATGAATTAATAGAATATATCCAAACGTATTTAATACAAAATAGACAAACATGGATAATTGAAAATTTAATTGAAATCCTTAATATGGTTTCATCAAGACCTACACTTTCCACATTAACTAATCTTTGTTTGGAAGAAATCACATTATTAAATCCTTCAACATTTTTTGAATCAGAATCTTTTTTAAATATGAATGAAGTTGCTTTAGTTGAATTATTGAAACGTGATGATATCTGTATGAAAGAATCCAAATTATGGAATTGCGTTTTAAAATGGGGAATCGCAAATACTCCTTCCTTAAGCTACGACTTGGAAGATGAGGTAATCAGCAACACTTCGAGAGAACAAAGCTGCAATGATACATATCTCTGTAAATTGACTTCAGAAGATTATCAAGCATTGGAAAGAACGTTAAAAAATTGCATTCCACTAATTAGATTTTTAGATATTCCATCGAATGAATTTAATAAGATGGTATCAAAATCAAAAATATTACCAAAAAAATTATTGGATGATATCAACCATTATCATTTGACGGGAGAAGTTCATTCAACTCAGATTTATAATATCACTTCACCAAGATCATGTGGTTTACAAATAGATTCCAAGATAATAAATCAAAAACAAGCGGCAATTCTGGTTAACTGGATAGACGGTCATGATATATCTTACCCAATACCCTACACCATTAAATTATTATTCCGAGCTTCTGAAGGTAATAATGACCCCAAGTTATTTCATGAAAAATGCGATAATGTCGGACCAACTTTTATCGTAATTAAAATACGTGATAGTAATTGTTTGGTCGGCGGTTATAATCCTCTTAATGATTCATGGAAAAGATCTTGGTTTTATCCTGCTAGAGGTCAAAAAGAATGTTTTATTTTCTCTATAGATTCTTCTGATAAAATTTTAGATAAAAGTCCCAAATTATCTAATGTTGTTCCAGAACATAAGAAAGACGCTATCTTTGATCATCCATGGAATGGACCTTGTTTTGGTACCGGTCCTGACCTTTGGGTTAATATTGATTTTAATAATCCTATTGGTCATGCTATTAGAAAAAGTTATCAACATTCTATCATGAAATCGAGGGATTTTCGTTGGGAGGACTGGGAAGTTTTTTCGGTAAAAAAAAATATACCAGGATAATACTTGGATAATACTCATTCTGTAGACACGCTTTTTCTTTTTTTTTTTTAATTTATAATTATATTATTATTTAAATAAAAATTCTTATGCATGATCATCACTGAAAATTGATTGAAACAAGAATACAATAATTTCTCCAATTAAATCTTCAATAAAATTATCGTCATCTTGTATATCAAAAAACTCCCACTCTCGTTGAGTCTCAAGGTCCAGTTTCAAAATTAACATATAAATACTAAAAAATATCACAACTATAAAACAATTTACAATGGTTTCACAAGTTCCATTGTCTATAAGAAAAGTTAGATTTAATGATTTCGAAGAAATAAAAAATAAAATAAAATAAAATAAACCAAAAAATTTACCTTCCAAGTTTCTATTTGTTGATCCGACATCCGCATCATTTTCGTTGGTGAATTGATCAAAGTTATTCGCTTTGGTTAATTCGTTAACTTTTCCTGCAATTAATTTATCAAACCCATCATAAAATTCCAAGCGAGATGATTCATAAATAAATTTTGCTCCAATAACCATAAAACTTTCCTCTTCAAATTTTTTTTCAACCATTTTCTTAAGTTTCTCAATTCTCTTACGACTTAATACTTGATCATTCCAACATTCATATCTTGTATATGACTCTTTCTGTGTTACAACTCTTTTCTCCTCTAAAAATGATCCAAGTTTATATTCGGGATATTTAAGATCAAGCATAATAATAACTCCAACTTCTGACACGAAGACCATTCCACCGTAATACAAATCAAATTTATCACCTGATAATTTAGATGCAATAAGATTATTAACATCATATTCAACTAACAATTTAAATCCTGGTAAATATTTATCCAAGTTGCTCAAAATATTATTCTTAATTTTCCATTCATTATGTGGTATTTTATGTTTTGAATTGATCCATTTTCTTCTTTGATATTCATCATTTTTAAGGAATTTATGTAATAATTCTATACGAAAGAAGCGTGTGGACTTTATAAGTATTTTATACAATAATAAACATTTTTCTTCTTCAGTTGTCGATAATTGAACGGACCTAATAGTTGGTTGATTTTGTTTCAAAGAAGTTTGATGCGTGATATAAGATTTATAGATTTTGGTATATTTTAATGTATCACTGTGCGATGAAATATATCCTTGTGCTTGAAAAAAAATGTCATTAGGTACATCTTTTTCAAATAAAACTTGTTGTTTTAGTATACAAAGGATAAATTTTATAATATGAAAATTAATTTTTATTTCTTTCATATTTTTTTGGGGGGGTGGGGAAAGGAATAGTGTTTGTGAGAGAGAGTAGGGAAACAACAGATTACAAACCAAATCTGTTTACGTGTAATTAAATAACCTCTCGCATAGAGTGATCTAAATTTGGTAATAAGACACGTTATTGTATTAATATTTGTTTATTTCTTTACATTTTAGGAAACAAATGAAACAAATCTAGTTATGATACAAAATTGGAATAATTGAAATGCGAAATATACATGAACACGTCCGAGCTAGGGTAGGTTGGCGTGACAGCATAAAAATCGCACGTGATTTTACGATTTATATCGCGAAAAATCGCGACTATAATTCTAGTCGAAAATTTATAATTTTTAGTAAATTGACCAAATTTATTATAGCAAAATAAATGTAAATATAAATATCAATTAACCATCCAAAAAAATTAATTTATTCATTAATAATCAATATTTTCATTAAGATTAATGTAAAGAAAATTAAGCATTTGAATGCTTTCTTTTTTAAGTGCCACCTTTCTAACTGACAAAATTGTTTTATAGCTAGAAAAGCTACGTTCAACATTAACACCAGACATTGGTAACCATATCTATATTAATGCTAATGCACTAAGTTCTGGTAATAAATGTCTTTTACTACTCCAATATACATTTAAGTCTACCAATTCCTCATCTAATTCATTGAAATCACAATAAATGGCATACTCTTGAATCAAAATATCAGCAGGAAAATGAAACTCTTTAATAATGCTATAATCTGTCATATTAACATTTGCTATATTGATTAAATAAATCTTGGATCAAAGCATTGTATTTAAAGATGAGAATTGTAATTAATACATTGCAACTTTTAATGTTGCAATATATGTTGCAATTAGTTTTAATCTATATATGCTGCAACTTATACTATTACAACGTATGTTACAACTAATTTTAGCTTACATTACAACAAGTTGTAAATTTGAAATTAATTACTGTACCATCTTTAATTGTATTGCTTTAAATAATGATAAAGCTGAGATTAAAGATGGGAACTATAATTAATATGTTGCAACTTTTAATATTACAACTTATGTTACAATTAGTTTTAACCTATATATGTTGCAACTAAGGTTGTTGGACGAAATTAAGAGTTTAGACAGACGTCTAAATGGTAAAAGTAAAACTTGGTTAAATTATATTAAAACCTT